TAGATAGATAGATTTATAGATAGATGGGTAGATAAACAGACAGACAGATACATAGATAGATGGATGGATTGATAGATAGAGAGATAGAGAAATGGATGGATGAATGGATGGATAGACCGATAGATTCCTGAGGATTACCAAGTTCTATCTGCTCAGTACCTAGTTTTGAGAAAGTTGACATCAAAGATTTTGAGTTTCACACGATGTCAAGTTTTTGCGAACACAATTCTTTAAATATCTTCATAACAACTCCGAATAATCTTACAATTTTGATAGAGCTGATAGAATGTTAATTTTGTTTCTGGACCTCATGGTCTTAGTAACTCAAAGTGGGTGGTTAGCGGGTGCTCTGGTGTGTTTTTGCTTTTTCTTTCCTGTGAGACAAACATCTATTGTCCTTATCTCCCCTTCTTCTTTTTTATGTTTGTTACTCTCTTGTAATACCTCTAACCTTCTGGCGCTCATATATGACCTTATGCAGTTGCGAGCGCCGTAAAACCTCTACTAAAACTAAAACTCAGTAACTCAAAACGGCCAAGAATGTCGGACAAAACTTTGTAATTCTGTGGTAGCGAATTTGTATATCACAAATTCTCGCTCAACAGCCATCTCTATACATTTAACAACAATCTCTTTTATTACCCCAGCCAATCTGGTAGCATTCTGAAACAATCTCAACTTCTTAGGAAGCATAATATTTGTGTGTGAATGTGTGTGCTTATGTACATTTTGTGCATGTATGTTAGGTTTGCTTCTTCTTTCCTATCAAACATCTATCGTCCTTATCTCCCCTTCTTCTTTTTTATGTTTGTTACTGTCTTGAAACACCTCTAATCTTCTGGCGCTCATAATATGACCTTATTGTGTTGCAAGTGCCATGCGTAAAACTCTTACTAAAACTTAACTACAGACTGGAGGGAGTGCCTCTTGCTTCATGACCTTATGCAGTTGCAAGTGCCGTAAAACTCTTACTAAAACTAAATCTTCGTCCCTTATATGACCTTATTGTGTTTCTAGTGCTGTAAAACTCTTATTAGAACTAAATCTTCGGCACTTATACGACCTTATTGTGTAGCAAGTGCCGTAAAACTCTTACGAAAAAAAACAAACCTGTCCTTTATGTTTCGTTCAACACAAGTCTTCTGGTTCTTTCCTCCCTGGACAGAAAGCGACAATATAAGCATCGGCAGCTCGGCCTCCCGCAACGCGCCGCACGGCAACCACCAGACGTACACGCGCGCAGAGAGCAAGACGAGCATCACCAGCGCCACCTACATGGGGGGACAACTGAGCGCCACGGAGAGCAGCAGGGGAGACGACCTGCATGACGAGACGGACTCGGAGAGGTCGAGCACCTATGGTGGGTTTTTCGTATTGTTACGGATTATGTATATGTACTCTGGGGTGGATCCTGAAGGGGGGTGGAGGTGGG